CAGCCGGCCCCGGCGGCCCTCGCTCGCCCTCGGGCTCCGGCCGCGAGCCTGGGCACCGGCGGGCTCTGCGGGGCTCGTGGGCAAGTGGAGGAGCCTGGAGGAGAAGTGCCGAGAATGCCCAGGACGACTGTGGGACAAGTCTGAAATAAGGAGGGTTGCAGTGAGCTATGTCAAAAAGTGTACTTTCTGGAGCAGGCATTTCACTGGCATCATTCCTGTAACCTTCCACATCCCCGGTTGTTGCTCTTCCTCCAGTCATCCCCTGTGTTGTATCTCAGTGGAGTGCCTGGAGTGGCTGTGCAGAGCCTTGCAAGACAACCTATCGTGTCAGGACGAGGCACATCATCCAGGAGCCCAGGAACGGGGCAGAGGCATGCCCTGCTCTGGAGGAGAGGGCTGGCTGTGTAGAGTACTGGACTCGGCAAGGAACAGAGTGCCAGCAGTCCCTGAGTAAGCTCACTGAAAAGTGTCTGGGGAGTCGTGGGAAGGACTGGTTTGGGTCAGCAGAGCTGTTTTTTCCTCTGAAGAATCGCTTTTAGACACCAGTATGTTTGCCGCGGGCCTGCTTGGGCTAATTGAGAGCTGGGCTCTTTCACACTGGAGCTTAGACACGTCCTGCCCAGGACAGTGTTGGAAGCGGTGCCTGCAATTTGCTATGATCCACTGTGTCTCAAAACTGAGATGTTACAGGTCTGCAGGTCTGATGTGCTCTCATTTGTACAAGCTCAAATCTCTGGAAATTTTGGTGAGATTGGCAGATTTGTGTCTGTTCAAAACTTCTGTAAGTGGGTGTCAAACACTTTTTTTCCATTTCGTTTATTTATTTATTTATTTGTTTGTTTGTTTGTTTACTTGCTTATCTGCAAAAAGTCACAAAGGAGTGATACCTCTTCATGCTGAGAAATGCCTTTTCTGCACTGGAGCAGAGGTCAGGCAAGGGAGACCTCCAGATAGTTTCTGTAGAAAAAGCCTGGGTTTAGTTTGTTTAATTTAGGTTTTTGTGGAATGTCTTTACCGATTCTTTTAGAAGAATTGCTTGTCATTTTGGCTGGTATTTTGGGGTCAAAATCTGTCTGTCTGTCTGGATGTCAGCTGCAAGTGACTTCTAACCTGTTGAGAACTGGTATTAAGGGAATATCACCTCCCCTTCTGTCTTTGGGTATATAATTAAGTTTATAAGTAAGTATATAAGTAAGCTTACTCTGTTCAGTAAAATCTGGCAGCTGTACAGATTCTCTTCCCAGTGGAATGATTATATATATATAGTGATAGATAATATGAATAAAATATAGTATTATATTATATATTATATATACATATTATAATATATAATAAGAATAATATATATATATAATGATAGATAATATGAAAATACAAAGTTAGAATTGTTCTTGTCTCTGCTAAAGATAAAATCTATGATGTTAAAAGTCCATCTTTTCTGTTTTGCAGACATAACGAGCCTTAGAGCAGCACTGCCACTGACACTCTGTACCTTTTCTCTTTGGTATACACAGTTCCGGCATTAATAACTAAGGGAGGGTTTGGAAAAGCGAGGAAGAAAAGAGCTCCAGCTGATGGGAGTGAAAGGGCAGGGTAAGTTGGATGCTCATCTCAGGGACTCAGCTATACTCCAGAGTCTCTCTGGTTGCAGGAGGGAGATCATCCCAAGGAAAACCTTTACAGACTAAATCTTAGCTCCTGTCACAACCTGCTCTACAAAATCTAAGTAACTGAGGGGAGACAGTAGAGGAAGTGTGGCTCAGCAAGTGGGTACCAGACTTGGAATGAGATTAGTCAAATGCTTGACCAGTCTGTGTCCCTATTGGTAAAAACAAATGCCAGTCATACCTGGTATTTTTTTATACGATAGCTGAAAGCATCAGCAGAGTAGTTTATTCCCTACTTAACCTTGTCAAAATGCAGGTACACCACATATTCTGCTCTTAATGGCCTTGGATGTGGGGATTTTTTGGTTTTTTTTTTCTTAATTAGTGATCTGTGGTCTTGCAGATGAGTGTGGCTCTGGCAGCCCTGTGCAGGCCTACCCTGGTTTTTGAGCTGACCTGGCAGTTGTTGGGTTGCAGGTACTGCGTAGAGTTCCAGCTCGTGGCCCTGACGCCAGGCTGCCTGCACAGCCAGCACTCGCACACCAGCTGGACCCGCTACCTCAGGGAGGGCCACAGAGTGTGCGTGGAGTGCCAGCACCCAGCCCTGCAGCCCCCGAGGCAGCGCTGCTACGGTGATGGCGCTGGCAGCCAGCAGTAAGAGTTTTAGCTTTTGTTTTCATGTTGAATGTGTTATTCTTCTCCTTTGATCTGCTTGTTTCAGGATCACTGTGCACTGCATGCAGCTTTCTGGAGAAATTAGGGGGTCTTTGGGCTATCTGTGGGCAGCTCTCTGCATTGGATAAGAGCTGATCCAGTTGTGGTAGCTGTGCTTCTCCAGAGGTCAGGGCTGGGAGATACCAATGTGAGGAATTCCCTTAAACCACTGAACAATAAAATCTGGGAAGGGGCACAGTGCTACAGAAAAACATCTGTTCCTGTCACTGTTAGGTTTTACTTCATTCTAATACAGCCTGTGGGCCTCACTGTGGCTGCTGTTGCTTTATAGTGGTAGAGAATTGGGCCCATGGACTAAAAATGGATGCTATCAGACTAAATGGGATTTACTGGGTGATTTAAGCCCTATTGTACCTCGTGGTGACTGCCCTGCAGTGGAGGTGCAGCTCATTTTCTCTCACCTTCTTCCTGTCATGACTGCATTTCAGGAATCAGTTGTTGCACTGGCAGGCGGTGGGGAACGATCGATGCAAGGGAACCTGGAGGAGAATTCGCCAGCTGGACACTTGTTCCTGCCCTTCTGTTCACAGCTTCTTGTTCATCTGACTTCTCTTGGCAGTCCCAGCAAGCCCCAGTGTGCAGCAGCAGCAGGGGTCAAAGCAAGGGGTCCCAGCCAAAGCAAGGACTTCTCCATGTCATGTCAGAGGCTTTGCTTTCACTGCCTTCCAGAGGTTGCTGACTGTACAGGGGTACCTGGAATCCTCTCTGTGTGTGTTCTCCTTGATTTCTAAGGAAATCATGCTGGCTGGGAAGTGCTCTCTTTTTTCCCTGAGAGAATCTTGTCTGACCTTGATGACTTCTTGAAATTCCTCCTTTCTGGAAAGGAATGAGAATTTACCAAATAACAAATCAAACAAAAAAGGCCATAAGAAGCAAGATTTAATTACTTTTTTAAAGTCTCAGTGAAGAAGAAGCAATGCAAAATAAATTAATGCATGTGCCTTCTTTTTGTGGCAACAGCACTTTGTGGATATTCCTGCTTGTGCATCTATTCCCTCTATTTTCATCCTCCCTGGTCTCATAATTTTGTTTGGCCCTCAGTCTTACAGAGGGTTGATCTTGTGCTGCTGAGGTAATGATAGAACTTAGAAATGTGCTTGTCAAATCTGTGAGAATAGGGACAAGCTGGCCCTTGGACTTCAGTCTCAAGGAACATCTCTGAGTTGGCCCAAAATGCAATGCAAGTCCTGGGGCTCTAAATAGGAAGTCAGCTCAGCTGTGCCAGGTGGACTACACCCTTGTGTTTTTTACTGGGAGTGTTTTGAAATATTTTCCTTATATTCTGCTTACTAGTATTCATACTATTCTATAAATGAAAATAAAGGAGACTGGATATATGTCTATCTGTTTGATTAAGCTGTGTGGTGCTATCTCTTTAGCTTCTTCACCTGATTTGTTCCAGACAGGAACTCACTGCAGGTTGAGATGACATTCATTCCATTTGTCACACCCAGGTGAGTGGCTGGGGCTGGCTCCAGCAGAGAGTTTTAATGCTCAGCTCCATCTCCTGTCTGGAATTGGATCACAAGCCCCTCTATTGACCATGCTGAAGGTCTTGCAGGGAGACATCAAGTGGCACTGTGGATTGGTGCTGCAGATGCTGAGGCTTGTGTGGGGCCATGAGCACCTGATGCCTTTGGCCAGGGCAGTTGGGATTTGAGAGCAAGGCTCTGCTTCTCATTATGTGTTACAAGCTGCCTGTGAGTTAAAGACACACAGGGGTTGATATCATCCCAGAGAGGGAAGATTTTAAGAAAAAAAACAAAAGGTCTTGTACTTCACTGTGTAACATAACCTGTCACTAACTTGTGCCCTGCTCAGGAGCGCTTGCTGGTGTGTGAGTGCAGGGGTGTGATCCCCAGAGATGGGTTGGGGATAAATCACTGGAGCACTTCATTTTGCTTTCTGAGTGAGGATCTCTGTCAAGCTAAAAGCCAATTTCATTTCTTGGTGGTCTGTAGTGAGAGTAGCATTTTGTCACTGGAAAGTGTTCTTCTGCAGAAGCCCCTTAATTGAGCCACCAACTTCTAAAGAGGCAGGTGGTTACTTCAGGAGTGGAATGAAAACAGCTGTTGGGAAAGCTGTCATTTTCAAAATCTACCCAAACTTGATCATGGGAAACCCTGCTTTTACCACATTCTTTCAGAACTGAGTACTGAAACTATAAAGTTTTTGTGTAGTAGTTTTTAAAAATTTTAAGTCTTCCACTTGGGTTTTCTTTGCTGCTGCCTCATCCCTGAGAGCTGATAGCATAAGGTCTTACCAAGAGCTACTATTGGTGGCATGTAGGACTGCCAGCCCTTTCCTTCTGTCACTGTAGCCTGGAGATGCAGGAGTATGAAAGATTCAGCCCCCAAGGGGCCCTCACAGAAACTGTGTTTCTGCACAGGCTGTCACTTGATGACACAAGACATTGCAACTGTTTCTGCATCAGCACATCCTAAAAAGGGCTGTGCAGTGTGCTGGCTTCACCTCCACGCCTTGTGCGACTGTGCAAACAGATCCTGTTGGTAAATTCCTGGGGGAAGTGTGTGTGTGAGGGAGCAAGAGTGAGCCTTTTGAGTAGAAGAAGGTAATGAAGTTGTCAGATCACTTTCCCTGCAAATGAAAATCAGCTCATGGTGTTGACACATCCTGTTTCCCTTTAGGAATTTTTTCACCATTCATCATTATGATCTCCATAATTTCTATTACTTGAGTTTTTGAAAAAGTGAAACTCTTGGAAATCCAAGGTAGAATACTCCTGAAAGTGGCTTTGTACTGTAAACAAGCAAGGCAGGCTCGCACAGAGGAAAGGCAGTTCTCCGAGGATGGCAGCTGTTCCCATGACAACGCTGAAAACCTTTCACCACTGGTTATCAACAGGAGAACATCTCCCCCAGCAAACCCGCAAAGCAAGGAGCTGAGTCCCCATCCTCTGTAAATCATCCTGCTGGGCTCTGATAATGCAGCACAGGCAGCTCCACCTGCCAGGCACCTGCCTGAAAGAAAAGAAAATAAAGCCAAAGCACCAGTGAATCGGATTTATGCAAAAGCAAAATTAAGCTCAACTGATGTTTCTACAGTTCCTCCTGCTCTCCAGCTGAGGATCTCAACTTTTAATGATGAAAAGTCAAGCAAAAAATCCAGATCCTTTTCCAACCTGCTGAAGAGCCCATGTCGAGAGTCTCACACCGTCTCACATGGTTTGTGTTTGTGTCAGGGCTGCAGCTGGACAACTCTGAACCTTAGCAAAGCTTTTCAGACTGATTTTCTGGAAGCTGTAAGGGAAAAAAAAGGAATGTAAAGGAAATTATTTTTGTTTGAAAATCAGTTGAAATTTGAAATTTCCAGGTTGGCTGGAAATTAATTGTTTCCAGGAGTCCCAGCTCTTTGTTCCCTGGTCTCTTGGCATCACAAACCGGGTATACCAATCCTGAAGGAATCTCAGCTGAGAAATCCCAAGTATGGGTGATATTTGTAGCTACAGGAATGTGCATCTTACCTGTGGTGTGTGGGGCAAGAGGGGCACAGGGCTGGGCTAGCATCCCAAGAGCTTCTGACTCACTGCTTGCTCCTAGTCTCAAGCTTAATCTTGGTCAACTTTTCACCCTTCCTCCTGCTTTTTCTGCTCTATGCTCTGCTGGCACCAGTCCATGGGGGGCTGTGGATATCACAGAACAGGTACATGTATCTGTGTGTCATCACTGGTTGTGTAAGCTGCCCTGTGACCCCATGACAGCCTGCAAATGGGGAGGCCTTTAAATCTGTCCTGCTTACTGTGGCTGTTCTCCAGCACCCTGGTCTGTAGGGTACAAGAATCCGGGATTAATGGCAATATTTTTATATTGCCTTAAATAAACTTCCATTCTTGACCAGTGTATTTTACTTCATTACACAGGAATGTTAAATGCAGTATTTATCTGCAGAGCTATGCAATCTTACAACAACAACAACATTTGATGCTGCTTAAGATTAAAGGGCTCTGGTTTCAAGAGCAGAAAGGATTTCTAGCTGGAAGGACCCAGCCCTTCAGTGCCCAGGCACCACACAGCAGGAACCTGAGTTTCCAGTTCATTTCCAGGAACATTTCTAATGCTGAAGTCACTGACCTTTGTGAGAAGGTCACTGGAGTGACAGACTGGTGCTGGTCCAGCAGGCACCTCCTGTGCTCCTCCTACTTCTGAGACCATATCCTCTCTACACTACAGATAATATCTTCGGTTTCAGCACCTGTGACCTGAGCTGAGAAAGAGGAGTGAGTGGGATGTGCAGCTGTTCTTTACACATGTGCTGCCCTATGAAGATTACTGAATTGGGAGTTGGGTCCTCAGGTGCAAGAGCTGTGATTGTGCGTGTCTCCAGGAGTGGCTTTGGGCAGTCTAAGTGTAGAATCTCTGTCAGGACTGAGGTGAATATACATGACATACTTGTGAATTGCTCAAAGAACTTAGTGGGTGGGAGAGGAAGGAAAAGGGGATGATAAGGATGCCTTTTTCTCCTATGCTCTCATACAGTGGAAAGCTGGTGACTGGGAGCTATTGAAATGCTTGTAATTGTCTCATTAGAGACAGAAAATGTGATTAAAAGGGATAGCAATCTCTCTCCAAATTCAAAACATTGCAGTCTATCTTTGAAAGCAATTTTGGCTATTAGCACAGGTGATAAAGTCCCAGAAATTGAACCAAATCTAATTGCTGTGTCAAACCACTGAGAAGAAGAAATGAGTTCCCTTCCAGATGTCAGCAGACACATCTGCGTGTGGAGGGAATGGGAGCATGGGGTGGGGGCACAGGCAGCCCAGGTGGGAGCCCCTGAGGATGGCACCCCAGGGAAGAGCAGAGGGCTCTGCCTCTGCCAGGGGGCTGCCCTGGGGCTGGGGGGCTGCAGAGCCCCTGGAGCAGCAGCCGGCGGGGCTGTCTGCAAACGGCATCGAGAGCGCACGAGCAGCCTGGCCGAGTGATCTCCCGCACAACAAGCAAATCACTTACGTATTTTTCATGTTCTGCTTAGATGTTGAAGTTTTAATTCCTCGTCCAGGCAAAAAGAGCGTTTAATAATAATTTGTCAGCACAGTTGAGATGTGTACAAGTGAGACAGCTGGGCAGAAGTTCCCGCTCTCACACCGTCAGTGTGACTCTTCCCTCTCTCCAGGCCAGAGGTGGCTTGGACAGCGGGGCCCCTTCTGTGCAGAACAAGGGACATTGCTCCAGGGCTGCAGTGAGCAGCTTTTGGTGCTCTTCAAGGCTTTCAGAAAGGCCTTCAATTCTTCAGTGCCTTACAGAAACTACAAGAAATTTAGTTTTGTATTTCTCTGACTTTATGAGGTTGACCAAAATATTTGGCACATGAAGCTTGACTTTGACCCCTGGTGTATTTTCTTTGAGAGAAAATCTACAAAACTCTCCTCTCTTGCTTTCTCATTCAGTTGTACGTGGGGTCCATCTGGGACCAAAATGAAAAGCACTGAAGTGCAGAGGAAAAAAAAGAAATCTTCCTGAGTCTTCCTTACCATGGAACAGTTCCATGACCAATGGAACTGTTAGAGTTATGGGGTGAAAGCAGTCCCTCTCCCTGGGTCACCCCAGGCTTAGTGTCTCTGCTGGGAGAGGCTGGCTGGTCCAACCAGTCCTTTTGTACCTCACCTGGGGCTCTGGTGATCAGGCTGTGGCAGCCAGAGGCCACCTCTGACATGTCCTGCTGTTCCTCTGCCACGTGGGGTCAGGCAGGCCAAGAAACCCTGCCCAGAAAGCCATAAGTAAAGTGTGAGAACGGGTGAAAGGGACCATCTTATGGTATCTGGCTGAGAGTTCACCTGTGTCACCATGGTCTCCAAGACCTCCTGTATCAACTTTGCAGCCTGGAGAGTGCTGAAGGAGATGGAAGGGAAGGAATCAACAAGGAAAGTAAAACAGCTATTTTTTTGTTTCATTTCCCAAGAAATAAGAGAAGATTTTTGCAGCTAATGAATTATTTCTGAAAACACTAGTAATAGCTGCAGGCAACATTAGCCTCAAGTTTCCCAATGAGCAGGAATCACTTATGTACCATTTTAAAATTCTAATGTATTTTCATTTGCTGTAGCTCAACTCTAACATGACTGGAGGTCTGGAAAGAGGCCAGAAGAAGTAGCCATGTTTCCAACAGATTACTCTCTCCTCAGATGAAGCAGTGGAAAGCAGTTCCTGCATCCTATTGGAGCCTGGGGCTACCAATTATCTCTGCAGAGAGGCTCCAGAGCCCTTGGTTAGCGCTGGGGATGGGCGATTTCAACTAAGCAGAAAAATTGGTTGTGTCAGAGGTTAAATAGCTCTGCTGCTGCTTAAAAACAGGTTTGCTCTGGACTTCAGAGGCACTGGAGTTTCTGCCTTCACTTCAAAGAAACATTATAGCAAATCTGGAGGCAAAATCCAGTCAGGAATGTGACTGGAATGTGGTGAGCCATCAGCACATGATCCCCTCCCTGTCCCAGGGGGGCAGGTGATGGTTTGAAGTCCCACCTCCCACCCAGAGCTGAGGCTGGGGCACAGGGAAGAGGGAAGGTGCTGCTCTGGCAGAGTCTCCAGGGCTGGGTTGGCTTGTCATGGCAGTGCTCAGTGACTGAGGGATGTGTCATCTGAGAGAAAAAGAGGAACAGATGGTAGAGGGAGTTACAGTGGGAGGAAAACCCAATTAGAAGTCCCAGCATGGTTTGTGTTGGGGATATGGATCTTATACCTTAAGTAACAGCCAGGAAAAGAGAGATACCAGGCTTTGTCACCCATGGTGGAGAAAATTCTTGTTTCAGGCAGAGAATGATATGAAAAGAAACTTTGGTAAAGCTTCTGGGAGATTCTTCTCTGAAGGGAGAGTGAATGAGGGAGATAATACAATTGGAGAGATGGACTTATTATATCCAGTGTGTGGACTCAGTATTCCAATAGAGGTTTTTTAGCTTCCCCATCCTGGAAGAGTGTTTAATAGTTAAAACAGCAGCCTGAGAGTTGGAAGTCTGGGGAATATCCCAGATATTCCTCAGGGTATACCCCTGGGAATATCCCCAGCTCCTCCTGGTATCAGCACCTTGGCATCAGTCTTGAAGGGGGTCACTTGCATCCTGTTTTGGCCATTCAGAGGTTAATTTTCAGAAGCAGAGAGCATTCCATGGGCTGGACTTGGGCAGTGGCACCTCTCAGCCTCAGCTGCTATAAAATCCCTCATCGCTGAGACAGTTTGCAATTTTTTGCCACACGTAGGGATGGGGCTGTCTGGAAAACACTCCTCCCAGGGAGGGGGCCAAGTACTGGCTCTTGAGCTCCAGGGACTGTGAAAAGGCCAAAGACAGAACATTTCAAGCTCTCAGCGAGTGCTTAGGGGATGCTGGACTCAAATTCAGCTGTGACAGTGGCTGGGAGGGGGACAGTTCTGGCCAGGCTCATGGGCAGCTCTCTGTGTGCAGAGGGGGAGCGAACAGAGGGACGAAGCCGGCTGTAGTTTCACTTGCAAACACGAGCCCTGAGGTCCAGAAAGGCTCGAGCTGTGCTTTGCAGGGCTGCTGTGGCACTACCCCCGTGCCCCCAGCCCTGCCCAACCCAGCCCTGGCACTGGTGCAGGTGATGCTCTGCAGGTGAACTGCACAGGGATGCTGGGACTGACTGTCCATGGGAGGGCAAGGAACAGGGACTGAGCAAGAAAAAGTGAGAGATTTCTGGTTTTCTTCTCCATTAAGAGGGCTATGGAATGAAATAAAAATAATTTTTGAATAACATGAGATTTGGGAAAATTAATGTATTTTTGCTCATTCTTTCTCACTTTGTTTTTTTCCATTAAGTTATATTTCTACCTGGTGTTACACTCTTAATTACCTTTCTGAATACACCATATAGGTCTCAGATCCCTGACTAATGTTGATAAATCATTCTTTTGAAACAGATAACGTGTTTTCTGAGTGGTGCTCAGGAACAAAGGCTCAGAGCTAAGTGCAGGACCAGAGCTCAGGCATTCCCAGGCCTCACGGTTACGTTATGACCAAATCAGCCTAGAAACTCACAGATGCAACCCTGGTGGAAAGGACTGCCCAGCCTTAAAGCTTTTTGCTCTCTATAGAGAAGTCCAATACATGCTGTTTGGTGAGATTATTCTGGAACTTATGAGAGTATCAGTTGCACAAACTTTACCTGATGTAGGCATATATTAATAAGACTGCAACACATTATGGGGTGTTTAATATCCTGGAAGTCCTCTTGAAATACCTCAGTGTCTATAAAATCTTCCTGCAGCTCAGGGTATTGCCCAGCATATTCCATTTCAGGTTCCACCCCTCCACCCTGACACCAGAATAGCAAAAGTATTTAGTCGGGAAGTCGGCACTTACGAAATCCTTCCTTCACTTTCTCTTCATTTCTGTTACATAAATTCTGTATTTCCTGGAATAGAGGCTCTGAACTGCTGAACTCAGTCTGAAGGCAACCCAGATAATGAGCTCATTTACATTAATAAGAAATCAGCTGTTCCTTTTTGCTGGATTCCCAGGGGAGCAGCTGGTGGTCTGCTTTTTCCATGCAGCCATTCTCCTCCATACTGAAATGCCTCAGAAACATTTGTTTGCCTGAAAATGTTACTGGAAACCAAAATAGCTGATGTGAAAAACAAATAGAGAAAGCCATGGATTGTTCTGGTCAATTAGACCTTTGGGAAGTGGTCAGATAGTTTGTATATAATTCAATAGCTATATTCAAGCCTCATGGCTCTTAATTTACACTTTCTCATGCTTGGATCATCTCACTGTCCCCAAGCATTTGCCTCTCCACTGTTCTGGACAATGCTAGATGCTGCATCACAGACTAATTATCATAAAGTCATGAAAACAACATTTTACATTATGTAATTTTGGGTT